ACCAAAAAAAAAAAAAAAAAAAAAAAAAAAAAAAAAAAAAAAAAAAAAAAAAGTGCTGAACAACGGAGTTAGGAACAAGCTGGGTTCAAGTTTAGATTCTGCGGGTCCTTGGACAAAGTGCTCCAACTCAACTTCAGCGTCACCCTCAGAGTTGTTTTGAGGGTGTATATCTGTATATATCTATCTCTCTCCATATATATCAGTGATTATAGGTATCAACATTTATCTATATAGCAGTGTTTATATATATCCACATATATCTATATACCAGTGATTATATATATATCCACATACATCTATATACCAGTGATTATATATGTCCACACATATCTGTATATCAGCAATTATATATATATATCTGTATACCAGTGATTATATCTATATCCACATATATCTGTTTACCAGCGATTATATATATATATCCACATATATCTGTATATCAGTGATTATATATATTCACATATATCTGTATACCAGTGATTTTATATATATATATATCCACATTTATCTATATACCAGTGGTTATATATCTATATATCAGCAATTTTATATATATATAGTATTTGGTATAGAATCAACCACACAAGTGGTCAATAATCACGGGGTAAAATACTGTGAAACTGCTTTCTAAATAAATAAGACCTACTTCATGCTCTGAGGGTAGACAGAAATGCTAATTTTCCGACAGAACGTCAACCTTGAGTGTTAGACTCTCAGTTATTTTATGGATAAGATGAAATGCAGATTGAATATCCCTTATCTGAAAGGATTAGAACAAGGAATACTTCAGAGTTTGTATTTTTTTCAGCTTTAGGAATATTTCTATGTATCCAGTGAGATATCTTGTGGATGAGACTCAAGTCTAATTGTGAAATTCACTTATTTTTATTTATACTTTATACATATAGCCTCAGGGTAGTTACATAATTATATTTACATTTATTTATCTTTTTTTGTGTGTGGTACTGGTGATTGAACCCAGGGCTGTTTCTCTGAGCTACATCCCCAGCCCATTTTTAAAAAATGTTTTATTTTGAGACAGGCTCAACTGTGTGATATTCCTGCCTCAGCCTCCCAGGGTGCTGAGATTATAGGCATGTGCCACCATGCCCAGTTTATATAACATTTTCAGTAATTCTATGCATGAAACAAAGTCATGCTGGTGTCATATCAGTGCTCAGAATATTTTGCATTTTGGATTTTTGGAGTAAGGATGCCCACCCTGAATTCTATTGCTGTTTTAATTACATAAGCTAACTACTAGCAAGTTAGGTGTGTTTTAGCAGTTTTGATTTTTTACATGTTTCAAAATTTTCCTAAAAATTCTTTGGCCTGCTTTTGGAAGGCTTTTTATTCATTGTTGATTTATGGACAAGACTGCACTACTAACCTGTTACAGGGCAGGTCAGGAACAGCCACAACACAGAATGAAACAGAGGAAGGAAATGTATTGGTGTTCTTCCTGACGTGGTCAATAAGGCGGAGCGGTGTGGCCGCTGCGTGGCTTTTCTCCAGCCAGCAGCTGGTTTCTCCGAGCCCTCGGGTCTGCAGAAGCTTGGTTCCTCAGTCCGCGGTCAAGTCCCGGTGGCTGTGAGGTGCGAGGCCGGCTCCCCAGAGGAGGTCATGGTGTTGAGGGTGAATCGTTTCCTGTCATTTCCTGCCTGACTGAACCACCTAACTGCACAGTGCAGCGGTGGTGCCGGGCTCCCACGAGGTGCCGCGTGAGTATTGCTAACAGTTGAGAGGTTTGTGACACTTGGCTCTCTAGCCATTGTTACAGACGCCGCTGAGACCCGGCTCGCTGGTTGGCAGACCCTCTCAGGGCTCTGTCTCCTGATTCGCTGCGCGGAGCAGTAACGTCGCTGAGTCTGCCGCTCCCCACTGGTCCAGAGTATACTTTTTTTCTCCCCTCACTTGTTGAATTAGTTTCCGCCTTGTGCCCCACCCCCCTCACACTCGTGACCGGAGGTGCAGAGCAGCAAGAGTGGGAAGGGAGAGGAGGGTCCTGCCCAGAGCCCACGGTGCTCTCTCCGACTGGAAAGTGGGGTGCACGGCGGGTGCCACTTGCTGCCTGCAGCTGGATTCCCTTGGGGCTGCTGGACCATTTATTTCATCACCCAGGAGGCTGGGGGCTGTGTGCGGCTCTTGAGATCTTTTGTGTGCTTCTGGAATTGGAGATCTGGGGTCAGAACAGTCACACTTCTGTACGTTTATCCAAGATAGAAAAGAGGTGAGCTTTTTCTAGTGTATTTGTCACTGCCCAGAGAAGAAATGAGTTGAAGTTGAATTGTCGCTTCCCTTTGCCCCCAGTGGGTTACCTAGGGACAGGTTTCTACCTAGTCCACGTGCACTGTAAGTCACCAGGAGCAAGCAGCAAGCCTTTGCAGAGGACCAGGAGGCCAGGGCAGGTGTGCACCAGGTGCCAGAGCCCTGCTGGGTCATCACTGGCTGTGCCCAGCTGTCCCTAAGAGAAGGAAGAGTTGTTCCACAGGAGAGGCTGAGGATGCTGAGAATGGACTTGGCCTGACAGAAAGGGTCTTCTCCTTCAGGGCTGTGTGGGTGTGAAGCCAGCCCCTTCCCGCTGTGGCGGGACATGTTCCTTTGGGACCAAGGAGCTCCTGGACCTCCCGGACGCCATCCATGCGGCAGTAGGTAGCAGGGGCTGGCAGCAGCAGTCCTGGCTGTGTGTCTCTTCCTACCAAGCATAACGGCACTCTGTGTGGTGCAGAGCTGAGCCTGCCCCTCCCCCAGGAGGTCCACATGCACCAGGCATCACCCGAGGCAGGCATGTCTGCAGTCATCTCCTGTGAGTCAGAGGCTGAGTAAGGAGCCCTCCTGATCCCCACAGCCAGCCAGCGCTGGTCATGTGGCACCTTTACTGGGAAGGCTTCCGGGAGAACCATGTCACTCCGCTCCCAGGCTGGGGCCAAGCACTCTCAGCAAAACGCTCGGCCAAAGGCGCACCAGCTCATTTCCATTCTTAGAACCACAAATCATTGCTTTAGAGTCATGAGGTAACCACACACAGTTGTGAGAAAGGTCCGGGTAAACCACAGAGTCCCTTGATGAGGGATGCTGGCCACCTCTGGGGACTGGGAGGAGCCTCAAACCCACAGCCGAGCTCTGGGACCTCGGTCAACTACGGTCCAGCTCTCAGAGTAGGTGAGACCCACGGTCCACACTTGGTTTGTTGTCACCACAGGCAAGTTCAGGATCTCTCTGGGTCTCCATTTCTTCATTCAGAAAATAGGATGGGTGGGGAGATGGTGCGCTCAGCTTACTTCTGTTGTCTCTGCCAGGCCTTACATCTTTAAGATGCTTACTTCGATTTAAGGCGTAGCTCAGCTATTGAGGCATAGGAACCATAAATCACACCTTATGATTATTTTTGTTTTCCTCTGGGCTCATCATCTCTTATATGTGCTCCCTCAGTTAGGAAAAAATAATAACCAAGCTCCATTTGTGAGTATGCCACTTCCTAGACCCTGGGAGATTATATTCTTCCGTTATGTAACTTCTGTTTCTGCTGACATTCTCTATGTTCTTGTCCATTTCTATCTGACATTTTACTATGGAAAGCTTGAAACGTGCAGAAGAATTATATAACAAGCCTTCCTGGACTCAAAGCCATGCTTGAACGTTATCCACATTTCGTCCATGTTATTTCACCTGCCCTCCCTCTTGGTATGCATACTGCTGGCAGAGGGGAGGGCTACAGTATTTTTAAGCAAATATCCGGTGTCATATCATTACTTCATGTGTCTAAGAGAATTATCTCCCACTTAAAAAATATAGCTACAGTGCCGTTTTAATGCCCTCCCAAATTAATAGTGGTGCAGGAGTTCTTTCAATTTTGGTGAACTTAGAATGGAAGGGGTTTTGGAGTAAAGGAGCTATGTCTGGATTTTCCCTTTTCCCCTAGAAAAAAGTGATAGAATTCATGAGGAGGATGTTGGGGCTTAAGCTGGTGCTTGGTTGAGAGAGAGAGACAAGGGAAGAGAGAGAGAACACATAAATGCTTTCTTTTCCCAGCTAATGAAATCCACTGTCTTCCCCTCTCTCTTTAACCCCATTGGATATATAGTCGACCCCTGAGTTACGATGGTTCAGTTTCCAGTGATGCAAAAGTGATATTCACTGAGTATTTTCATCCTGTCCCGGGCTAGTGACAAGCTGTTACAATAGTCTCTTGGGATGCGGGGCAGTGGCAGCCACCCACAGCTCCCAGTAAGCCCTGTGACCGGGAGAGCAAACAGCCAGCACCCTGCAGTGTACCATGTGTTTGACTTAGCACAGTTCTGACTTAGCACTATTTTGACACACTGTCCGTGGTAGGTTGAGGGGCAGCTGTGGATGCCTATCACAGGGCATATACGTCACTTGCTAGGGGGAGGAGATGTTCATAGGTTTCTACTTGAAAGGTTTGATTTTCTGCTTTGGAAACCTGTAAACTTTTATTCAGTAAGAGTACTCTGTACGTAGCAGCATAGACCTGTACCTCATTAAATGTGTTTGGCAGTAGGAAGTGGCCCCTTAAAGTTACCTCAAAGTGGGGAGAAAGAAATAGAGGAAAGGAGAGAGGGAGGGCGGGAAGAGAGAGGAGGAAAATAAAAACCAAAGAGCTCCATAAATCTCAGACTGACTTGATGACTGGGCTTGGGAGGTCATAGACGTGCGTGGAATGTGTCCGGGACATCCAGCGGGGTGGGCGGTCCCTGCCTGGGATGTGAGACTGTCCAGTGGGGCTCGAACTTCAGGGCCCCGTCCGTCACTTGGCCTGCCCCAATCCTGGTGGTGCTTCTGGGCTGTGCTTCTGTGGTCGTATACGTAAGCTTCCTGCCACACACAGCCTGGACTCCCCCTGCGTCTCAGGAATTGTGTTCGGTATACCCATATTATATCTCGAGAAGTCCTAGTTTTCCCTTTGGTGAAATTTTGCCTTTTTCTTTTGGATTCCTCTTTTTAATTGATTTAACCTAATTTGCGTTTCATTCGTGCAGATGAAATTATGCAGCAGGAAGTCAGGCCCTTGGTGGCAGCGGATATAATAGAACAACTTCACAGACAATTTGCCATTCTTTCAGGTAAGGGGCAAACTCATTCGCATTTCCACATTTTGCTGGGGTTCCTGCTGGCAGGGCCCGGGCGTCTGAGCGTTGATGAGCATTACGCTCAGCTTCACTCACCACCCAAGGGCGGGGTCTCCTGGACGCTGTTCCTTTTGCTTTGGGGTGCATCAGGTCTTTCCCAAAGGAGGGCATTACCCTGAGGCTGTGAAGAACAGAGCTGAGAAAGATCTGAAGACAAACAAATAACTGATGACCTCCGTGGGCGCCATGACATTCTGCCACTGTTTTTGTTGAATGCTCTTCCAGGATTCAGCCTCAACAGAGTTTCAGTTTGAAGGACTCAAGAGCATTTGCTAAGGTGTTCTCTGAGACATTTGACTTTTACTCTTAGCTCTTCCAAGGAGATTCTCGTCAAGTATTTGATGGGGCTTAGCCAGAGGTTGATATTAGTAGGAGGCTGGAAATGTTCTGAGCCTGGGTCACAATGCTGAGAAAGTGTCACTACTCGAGGACCATTCTTTCTTATTCACTTAGCTGGGAGTGGCATGACTTTAGGAGGTACATGCCAAGCTCTAAACCATAATAGGCTAATTTGGGAGCATGCAGTGGTGAGATTGGAGATCCTTATCACAGAGTAATGAGATGGCAAGTCACTCTCTTCAGTTTTATGTTTCTTCTAAAACAAAACAACAGTCGTCTTGGTTACATCACAGCGAAAATATGCAATTGGTATCAATTTTACTCTACAACAGAGGATAGGGGGAGGCACATTCCTTTCTCTAAATCATTTTCAATACGCTCCAAATTCTTCACCCCTCTGACTTGAGGGAAACCCAGTCTCACTTAGTGAGATTCCTCTCCACACCCCAGCCGTGTATCCTGGGTGGGGACCTATTACACAGCGCAGAGCATTCTGGGAGATTCCCTGGTCCTTTGTCTGTGTTAGTCACTGTTCACATAGTCAGCGAAAGCGCCATAAGTGCAGGGTGTTTGGTTTTCTTACTTCTGTATTGCCAGAGCTCAGAACCAAGATAGGAACATGGAAGGTGCTCAGTACAAAATTACCCAAGTCTTCCTGGTCCATCCTCTGAGGCCAGTGAGCTCACTGCTTCTTCATGGCCTACCTTTGGCCCACAGGATTGGTCCTGAGGTGTGCGCCTAGCCAGCCTCACAGCCCCCTGTGGTGAGTCTAGGCTTGACAAGACAAAGAGCAAGGAGGGGGCTGTCCTCTGGGCTCCTAGAAGCTGTGGCTGCGGCCCTAAAACGTGGAAGCTCCAAGGCCAACGTGTGTCAGGTCTGAAATGGATCGTGAGGAAGAGTGGGATGCATTCCTATAACCTTAGACACAAGCTCTAATGGCCCAGGATGTGATTCTGCCACGTATAATCCCATGACGGCACAGCTCAGACAGGAGTCCAGTGGTTGATCAGTTGATACATTGAAGTGGTGTGATTTATCTCCTTTGAGTCTTACTCAGGCGTTTCTTTCCATGCTTATTTCTTAGAGGCAGTACAGGAAAAACATGAACTGGGACCAGACAGCTCTAGATGATTTGGATTCTGCGGTTTGCTAGCAGCGTCACCTTGGACAGTTTACTTCTCTAAGATTCCATTTCCTCCTTTGTACAGTGAGGTCATTGTAATGTTGGCTATTAAATGACAAAATGTATGAAAAATGCCTAGTATTACAGTTACCAAAGAAATGTCCATCATTTCTTCCTGACATATTTTAAATTCCCATAAGGTATTTATTTTAAGGTTTTTTGTTTTTGTTTTTGTTTTTGTTTTTTTACCAGAAATAGTTTTCAGTATGATACAGTTTCTTTTACAAATAAGGAATCAAAGTCATACACAGCGAATATGAGTACAATGCCACAGTAAGTCAGGAATAGATTAACTGTCCCCCCATCGTGTAGAGCAGAGTGGGGAGCACTCACGCTGCACTAAGAGGACTCCTCTGATTTAAGAAAGACACATGACCGTATCAAAAATCACCCTTCATTTCCCTTTGTCGCTGAAGTTTGCTCTCCTCACGAGAGAGCTTGGTTTTCTGTGACGCACTTGCGAGACTTTCACTTCTGAAGACTGTCCGCTCTGAAGGAGCACTTTGAAATCAGCAGACTTTCAACTTCCACCGTCCCTCTTTACCTGGCGGAGACAGCGAGCGTCAGCCCTGAGGCCGTGGTGGGTGCCTGCGTAGTTGTTTCTGAAAACATAAATCCCTGTGCTCAGGTCTTTTCTCCAGTCTGTCAGGCTGAAGGCTCCTCTGGATCATAGCAGTTTTCCTTTTCCTGATTCAGGTAAGCAAAGTGAACCTTTATTTTTCAGCTGCAGAATTTTCTGGATTCCACTGAACTCTGCAAAGAGCCAGAGGCTCACGGACCAGGAAGGCTGTGGAGAAGAGGACGGAGCCTCTTTCTCAGTGAGACCCAAGTTGCCTGGTCAGCTCCGTATGTGCGGAAGAGCAAAGGCCCATTGCTGGCAGCCTGACCTAGACTTGTGGCCTTGCTCACAGGGTTCACCAGCCAGAGGCCGCACCCTCTCCTTCACAGCCTTCCTGCAGGACGTCTGTCAAGGTCAGACCCGCCAGAGGCTTGAGCCCTGGGTATCATCCAACTCTTGCTTGGAAGGCACCTTGCATGTTCGCAGTCAGCTTGGGATATTTCTGAGTTTAGGAAAGTAGGAGACGTAGGTTAGTTAGTGTAGTAGAAATACTCTGGACTTGGGACTCAGAAAATTCTGAGTTTACATTCAACTAGTAGGTTGCTCTGAATCTCAGTTTGTCATCTATAAGATGGGTCATAAAGGAAAGTGCCCAGCATGATATCTGCCTACAAGAGAAATTAGCCTAGGACTTTTTCGTTAAACTACGTAAGGCATCTGGAGATGAAACTCCTAGTATTGGAGAAGCACTCAGTGATATTAAGACTAACATCTTTCTGATTCTCTTGCCATTTCCTTGGTTAATTCTTGACCCCAAGCAGGCTTCTGCAGGTCCAGACACCAAGTCTGTATCCAAAACAGGAAGAAAAATGAAGCAATGCTAACTTCATCTGTTCCTTTTGCCAGGAGAGCAGGAACTTTCCCCAAAGCTTTTGACTAACTTCTACTTATGTCTCAGTCCAGAACTACGATGTAGCCATTCCTCACAGGAAGAGAGTCTAGAAGGCAAGCATCTAGCTTTCTACCTGCCATATGGAAGGTGGTCAAGGGGGAAAGGAGTTTGGGGATGAATTAGCTACTTACCAGTGTCAGCCATAATTCCTTTCCTTTAATCCCATAATGCCTTTCCTTTAATCCCACAATGCTTTTCCATTAATCCCATAATGCCTTTCCTTTAATCTCACAGTGCTTTTCCTTTGACTATGAGGAATTATCCTTTTACATTTCTTTTAATGGCTATTTCTCCCTTGGAATCATTTTATCTGAATCCCCCTCTCCTCATAATAGTTTTTTTATTTTTTATTTTTTTGTTTGTTTGTTTGTTTTGGTTTTTCTCCAGTACTGGGAACTGAACTCACGACCTTGCGCTTGCCAGGCAGGCGCTTTGCCGTTGAGCTAAATCCCCAGCCCCTCCTCATAATAGTTTAATCCTTTTGAAAATGATTAATATTGAAGGGATAAAGTTCTCTTAGGCTTTGTGGAGTCCCTAAAGTAATGTAAAGGAGAAATAAAGGAAAGTAATTATGGTAAAATAATAAGTACATCAGCAATATATTTCAATAGGAGTAATAAGAAATAGTATTTCTGTACTGTGGGCCACCAAGCACCTATGACAGGGGTGAATGCCGGGGCCTAGTGTGGGTGATTGGGCACTTTGAGTGGTTTTACTGGAGTAATTTTCTGAACTAGCAAATTAACAATTATTGAGTGTAAATTGGGAAAAAGTAAAGGTCTTTCTCAATTGATAGAATAATTGCATCCCTGGAAAACTCAGTGTATATTAAAAATTATTTCTAAATTCTTTATTACTATTGGTAAAATAGAGTATTGGTTCAGAGCTTCATAAATGGATTTTTCATTTACATCAAGTATCTGATAAGACACAAATCAAAAAATTGGAGGACAATTTTTGTTTGTCTGTTTTCATGGGTTTTTGCTACTGGTGGTGGTAGAATGGGTCACTTAGTGTCCCAGGCCCTGGGATTTCCAAAGTGCCTTCCCAGCAATGGCTGACATTTCCCTGGCTAATGTCAGTGGGAGGAAAGAGGGGAAGTAGGTGCTGGACGTCACTGGCCGTAGCTGCTTCACCTCCTCCCTATTGCTGGCCCGCCCCCATTCCTCTGTAAGACATCATAGCACCCCAAATTCTGCTCATGCCAGCCTGGTCCCAGGCCCTTATAGGAATCACTTATGTACCCCGAGCAGTTATATCTGCTGTCAAGCTAATTCTCTTGCATGTAAAGAAAAGGAAAAAAATCACACTAGGAGGAGTGAGGTTTTATTTTTTTCTAATTTACCATTTTACTGGGTATCAAATAATTTGAGGTTCATTGTCTTTCTTCGGCAGAACTCTGAAACTGTCTTCCTCTTGCATTACCATCTTTCTCACAAGATGGCGCTAAGTGCCCTGTTGTGGGCGGTCAGCGGCTGTGGTTCCACCGGCGCAGTTTTGTTTCCGGGATGCTTCCATTGAAGATGAATATCCACCTGTGGGCGGATGTCCAGGATTAACCGTGGGGCTTCTCTGGCGTTCAGAATTAGTAATAACCAAGATAGAAAAGGCTCCAGCTCTCTTTTTCCATTTAGGTAGGGAAAGCTTTATTTTAGTGAGCTATGAAAGGTAAGATTAAAGCGCTGGAGATGTAACTCAGTGACACATCCACTGCCTAGTACATATGAGGTCTTTGGTTTGATCCCTAGTGTAGTAAAGAAAAACAAAAAAAGGTGAAATTAAATGGCCTAATCACATCCTAATGAATATTTTAGGGTGTTTTCATTTCTTGAAATGTTGTAGCCATTCATTTGGCAAAAATGTTTGTTATATAAGTTGTAGAGTATTATAATGCACCTAAGTTTAGCCTAGCTGGAGATAAAATTTTTAATTTATGTTTCTTGCAAACCTTCTACGGTTGTGGCCAAGAGAACAAATGTTAAGTAAATCCCGAAAATATCCTAGTCACTTGCCAGAGTGAGGCAGCGGCTCAATATCTTTCTCAAAGGCTGACAAACATTTAACCCAGGCATCCTTTCTGGAGATTTAAATAAACATACAGGATTAATAACGAGGGACTTTTACCACAGTCTTGGGATCAGCATAGATGGTCTATGTGCTGGTGATCTGCGTTGTCTGTGTTGTATTGGCCTCTGGGCTCTTGGAGCTTCCCTGGGGAGATTTGTGAGGGGTCCACAGGCGAGGACTCAGTCAGAAAGTAGAAGGTTTTACAAGCAGTTTATTGAGTAACAAGCGTGGGAGCCTTTTTGGGAAGGATGGGAGATTTAGGAGACGTCCAAGCCCAGGGAGCCAAGAGATGGGGGCGTGGTCGAGGGTGACAACTAAGGACACTTCCTTTGAATCAACCATGAGACTCCACCTCTGTGTCAGGAGGGGCAGTTTTTAACTTATATGGTCTTAGTTGGAGCAAGCACGGTGGCCAAGCCCATCAGGGAGATCAAAACCGCAATGCAAATGCATGTAAATGGGGTCCCGGATCCTCTGGTGTGCACGGGCCCCTGAATCATAGGCAGCAAGCCAGATGTGCGGCAACTGAGAGCAGTCTATGGCACCCATTTCAGGGAGCTTCGAGACAGAAAGCTTAGGAAACGGAAACCACTGTCTGTGGGCACAGCGCTTGCGCCTTTAGTTTCTCCCAGTAGCTAGTTACCTACTGTGACATCAGCTGCTAGAGAGGGGCGACGGAGCCTCCAGACTAAGCTCACACAGTTTCATTCACCAAACAGAGACTGGTGATTGGTTCATTCCACATGAACAACACAAAAGACGCCTAGGAGACTGAACTGCTAACTTACTCTCTGTGATAGAAACACGCATGCGTCTTCTTTTGATACTGAGAACCGAACTCATGACCTTACACTTGCCAGGCAGGTGCTGTGCCACGGAGCTACATCCCCAGCCCCGAATGTGTCTTGATAACACACTCCTCCTGAAACACATTGTCCTGGGAGGTCAGATTGCAAACAGAAGGTGCCGAGCAGGCACGCAGTGAGTGAATTATCTCCCACCCCGACATGACCTTGTGGATGCACCCAGCACTCCAGCTCCTATCCCACCGGCTACAGCTGAGTTCCCCAAACTTTCCCAGTTCTCAGCACCTTGGTGTTGCGTTTCTTCACGGCGTCCCTAGGTCCAAAGCAACACCCGACACTGAGAGCAACTTAATGAACATAGATGCCTTGCCAATGCAGCGGCTGTTTAAAAAAGAATGTACAGAACTTAAAATATTGCTTTTTATTTAATTTTATTTTTAAATAACCGCGGTAATCTCAAACTTACCAAATACCAGCATCCTCATTTCTTATTCTGCATTGATTTTCATACCATATGTATATTTTTTCTCCTGAGGGAGCTACCCAAAATCCAGCTTTATAAAATGGTGCAATGCCATACAAAAGAATAGCATGCGATTTAATGTTGGAATGGTGAAGTACCTCAAGCCAGTAGCACACACATTATCTGACAGGTGTGAACTATTATGGGTTCTCTCAAAAATTTAAAATATTCACGGTGCCCCTGTGAGTTCGCTAGGGCTCCCAGGCTCCTGCCGCACAGTTTGGGGACTGTGAGGCTAGAATTTGCTCATGTGCCTGCATGTAGCTGCAAGGAGACTGGGAATAGAATCTACTTAATTTATTCTCATAGCCTGGATGAGATTATCGCCTCTTTGTAGTCGTAATAATCATCGTAATAGTCACCATTCACTGAGCACTTATATGTAATAAATATTTTACTAAGGGGCCTTTTTCTTGTGTTTACAGCCAACGCTTACAATACTTTTGACATAGGCACAAGTATTATTTCTGTAATACAGATGGAAAAAATATATATCATATATGATATAAATACTATGGGAGAATTATACACATATATGTCAGAAAACTCCTACTTAAGTTATCTTGCCTGAAATCATGTAGTAATTAAGTGCCAAAGTACAGTTTAAATCTGTGATTTTAGAGTTCTCTTAAACACTATGCAATATCGCCTTTGATATTTACTGACTACAGGAATGAAGAGAAATATGTATTTGTGTGGCACTATTTCCTTCTCTGTTTAATCAGTATTACTCTTCATAGAGTAGTGATTCTCAGCAGACTCAATGCTTAGTTCTTACCATGCTGCTGAGCAAAAAATGAAGAACTGAGACTCCCTGAACATAGCTGTGTTAATGTTTCTCAGATTCCAGTCTGAGGTAATACAGAGCGGAAAAGCGACGGCCAGTGTCACTTCTCCCAGCGTGGTATCGTGCCACCCCTGGCCTGCAGAGGTGCCACACAGCACATTTTGCGAACATCCTGATCACCCGCTTGTGTTGCAGGAGGCCGAGGTAAGGACGGCGCCCCCATCATCACTTTCCCGGAGTTTGTGGGCTTCAAACGCATCCCGGAGGAGGACTTCCTGAATGTGCTTACCTACCTGACTAGCATCCCCAGGTGAGCTCACTCCTAGCCCTCCTTAGTCACCTTCCCACCGCTGAGACACAGTACCCAACCCCACAACTAGAGGAGAGGTTTATTTTGTCTCAGGATTTCAGTTTCTGGTCTGCAGGCCCCAAGGCAGAAATGGGAGGTGGAGCGGTGTGGCCGAGGAAGAGGTGTCCAACCCTGGCAGGCAGGAAGCAGAGAAAGAAGGGCGGAGCCAGGGACAAAAACACACCCTTCCAGGTCACACCGCCGATGGCCCGCCTCCGACCCGGCTGCGTGATCTAACAGCAACCCCATGACCGAATCACCTTTCACACACATGAGGATTTGGGGGGACGTTTTAGGTGGAAACCACACACTGGCCTTGCTTCACGTTTTCCACGCAGCAGGCTGGCTGAGATAAACTTTTGCAGGAGCGCAGTTACTGCTCCCAGGTAACGCAGCCCGCGGATGCAGAAAGAGAGAGGCAGCGGGAGGCCGATCCTATCAGTTTGGGCCACACATGCAGGAGGCCCTTAGTGAATGCCGAGTGGAGGAAGAGCTGACGGACTCACTGATGAGGCCTGGTTCATTCAGCCGCATTGCTCTAACTAATGATTATCTGGCTTTCTGGCTTGTGTTGGTCAAGGAGCTCAAACCGCATCATAGCTACGTATTTAATTTCTCCTTCCTAAATGAGAAGGTGAGGGGCAAATTTTATAATTGTCATTGTCTCGCACACTAAGAGAGGTTAAAGGTGTAAATACGCACGTGACAAGAACAGAGTCATCTCAAAGAAGTAACCTAATGATGCAACTCAGGGCCTGAGAAACAGAAGAACAATCTATATTTTAAACTAACAGAAGGAAATAAATAATAAACGACGGAGTGGAAATTAATGAATTTGAGACTTTATTTTATTTATTTATTTATTTATTGGCTTTTTTTTTTTTGAGACAGGGTCACGCTAAGCAGTTCAGGCTGGCCTTGAGCTCACTTTGTAGCCCAGGTTGCTTTCAAACTCACAATGATCCTCCTGCCTCAGCCTCCCAAGTGCTGGGATTACAGGCGTGCACCACCACACCCTACCTAAAACTTTAAAAACAATACGAAGACTCAATGAATCAAAGAGTTGGTTCTTTGAAAGGATTGGAAGGGGATCTGAGGATGGGGGAGATGGCAGAAGGGGAAAGGGCAGGACTGAGATGTGACATGTAAGTACGAATTTCCCGCTATGGATGTATTTACCATGTATCACAAACATGGACTGATAAAAAATAATTGAGAAAAACACATTTTAGTGAAAAAAGTAAGGTAAAGAATAATATGGGGAGGCCAGGGATGTAGCTCAGTGGCACAGCATCTGCCTGGCAAGCGCAAGGTTGTGAGTTCGATTCCCAGTACCGGAAAAAAGAAAAGAATAATATGGAGTACGTGCAACAAACTATGTAAAAACTCACACAGATAATTGTCTGGTGGAGAAATGAAGGCATAGAGCAAAGAAATGAAGACCAGGCATAAAAACTGTGCTCCTAGTTCAGCCCAAGAGAGAAATGTTCTCTGCCATTTGTTGGCTTCACCCTCTCCAGCCCAGTTCTCGCAGCTGTGTGTCACATCAGGTGCTGTCCCCGGGTCTCCAAGGGGTGGGATGTGCGGCAGGGTTCATACTGGTCACCAAATTTCACTGACAGAGTCAGCTGGGAACGGAGCCCAAGTCCTGCTCTAGACAGGAGAGGCCTCGCCGTGCGTGCGTCTGTATTGCTCACGACATCATCTCTTCCTTAACTGGCGTGGGTAGGATTTACACACCAGCCGTGCAGGTGCGCTTGTGCTTGCTTCCCATCTGCCTTGTGTGAGCTAGAGTATATGCCAGCTTTGGGACCAAAAGGCCACATGCAGTCAGGTCCCCCCTGGGAAGATAAGAACATCTGTACCTTTAGCCAAACCCACTCTGAGAGGGCTGTCTTTTGCTTTTACTTTTACCTATCTTACTTCTTCAGGGAGGTCGATAGACTTATTTTAGTGTATCCTGACATCCTGTTCCAGCAGCTGCCCCTCTCCAATAATACTTAGGTTGTATTTCACCAGCCGTCCCCTCTCCGCCACCCCTACTCCTCTAGGGTACTCGGTGAGCATCGGAGGTAACCCCTGCTGCCGGAGGGAAAGTGCTGCCTGCCTCCGGGCTTGGCTCACTCAGTTCCCACCGCCTAGGCCCAACTCCTGCAGATTCGTCAGCCCTCAGCGTGGACCGTGTCTCTGGGGAAACCATCCGGACCTGCTTCTACTCGCATAGACTCTCTTGACTTCCCCAGGTCCCCGAGCTTCCATCTTGTAGAACATGGTAGAATGTGGAGATTGTTTCTGCCTCTCCTGCAAGTGCTTCAAGAGGAAGGGCCAATGCCTTTCTGTTTTGTTTTGCATTTTGACCTCCAGCTACAGCACAGTTCTGGGCACACTCGAGAAGTGGTGTTGGTAGGATTTCCAGTTTTTTGTTTTTTGTTTTTTTAGTTTTTCTCCAGTACCGGGAACCGAACTCACGACCTTGCGCTTGCCAGGCAGGCGCTTTGCCGCTGAGCTAAATCCCCAGCCCCTGGATTTCCAGTTTTAATAATGGCTCATTCCAAGCCAAAGGCTGTAGGGTGAGAAGGGGCACACTGGCAGGCAGAGGGGCACCCGCTCCTCACTGCTGCCTTTACTTAGAGAGTGAAGCTGGGTTTTAGGAAGTTGAACTTGAACTCCCTCCTTGGATTGCACCTCAGGACACTGCCCCATTGATGTAGCAATCTCCCCATCTGTGGGGGCAGCAAGGAGGTTGGACGCCAGTACCCATTCTCCTCATATATATATATATATATATATATATATATATATATATATTTTTTCGCTTTTGTTTTTTGTCTTTTTGAGACAGGGTCTCACTTAGCAGTTCAGGCTGGCCTTGAGCTCACTTTGTAGCCCAGGCTGGTCTCGAACTCACAGATCCTCCTGCCTCAGCCTCCTGAGTGCTGGGATTACAGGCATGCACCAGCACGCTCGGCACTCCTTTTATTTGTTTTAAACTAATTTGTCTAATTCCCCAGACAGAGCCATATGTTAAGTTAAACCGGTAATCACCACCTTGTGCTTGCAGCCTTTTCCCAGTCACACCAGAGATGGCACGTTAGAGAGGACTGAAGCAGTGCAGAGAGAAGCTTACAGTTCCTGCCTCAGATGGAGAAGAGAATGTAAAGCGAGGGGCTACTGTTTTGGTTTCATCTGCTTTATGTTCCTTTTCTGTTTCTTCTGAACTACAAAGTATTTTCCTTTCCTAGAATGCTGCTTGTTTCCTGAGAATCGTAGCTGGTGAGAGCAGTTATTTCCCTTTCCTCTTTGTGGCTTTTTCTTGCTTCTACTTACTCAATCTCATTCCTTGTTCCTTCTAGTATAAATAAAGCAGAGACAAAGGGTAAGAAGGCCTGAAAGGGCTGGGGATATAGCTCAGGGCACAGGGATATATCTCAGCGGTACAAGCACCTGCCTGGCAAGTGCAAGGTCCTGAGTTCAATTTCCGGCACCAAAAAAAAAAAAAAAAGAAGGCCTGAAAGGGGCATTTGATCTGAGCCTTGACTTCCAGTGCGAGTTCCAATGAGTGAACTTGTTTTATGACCTCTGTTTATCATGATTTACGTGTTCCTCAATGTTGCCTGGTTACCAGAGCCCTTCCCAGTTTGCAAAATGTTTTATGGGCAGTTGGTGAGAGGCTTGTGGCACACAGCCGGACAGAGCTGATTCAACGTATAGAACAGGAAAGTGGCAGGGTGCACGGGGAAGGGGCAGGCTGGCCTTGTGCCTGAGTTCGCCAGCGTCTTCGGGGCGGCAGCAGGCCCTCTCGGGTGAGTGCAGTCAGGTTTCGCTTCTTCACCGTCCAGTCACACTCCCGCTGAGTGACAAAGCACAATAGCGTGTAGGAGGCAATGTGAGGTGCTCCAGAGGACCAGAAAAGCCATGAGACAAGGCCTTGAACCCTAGGAAGCCATCCCTTGACTCTGTTGGCAGGGTGGTGGGAGGAATGTGTTCATTAAGTTGTTACAGGAGCTCAGAAGCCCGAAAAGTCGCTCGGACATAAAGAACAGGGAAAGTTTCAGGAATGAAATGGTCTTAATGGTGCAGTTACTACAGAGACGGGGCGGGGAGGGGGCTCTAAGAGGCTGGGAGATAGCCCATCCTACAGCTTCTACAGTACAGTCTGGGGTGAGCAGCTTGGCTTCTATTTCCGGCTCCCTGGGGTTTTTAAAATTTTAAACAGACTGTGTTTGGGGCCTTATCACCGCCCCCCCCGCCCGCCCGGGTGACTGGAGCAGAGTGAGCTCTCTCCCCAACGGTAGCAGGACCTGAGAGTGGGGAGCAGATTGGGCGCAGGAGGCCTGGGGTTCTGAGGAGGGGCTGATCTGGCGATGGCCCTGGGTGGATGGGAGGGAGCAGGGACGTGGGACAGCGGGGGCCAGTTCCGGGCTTCCTCCCTGGGTGGGTGGGGAGTGCAGGGTGATGGCAGAGAGACTGGCCGGAAGGGGACGACAGGAAGACGGGCGTCCTGGAGGTGGGGGCGGAGAAACTTCGGAGTCTTATTCACAACCACGTCTTGTCTTTACATGCCTGGGGTGTGGAGTGCAGGCCTCATTTGCTTTTGATGGCCTCACTTTACTGATATTTTATGGTTCTTCCTGATCAAAGTCATGGTGAGACGGCGGCTCCCAAGCTCAGCTGCATATTAGGGTCACCACGAGAGCTGTCAGGGTTCTGGCCGCCCAGACCATAATGCAGACCAATTAGATCAAGTTTCTGGGCACGGAACCTGGCATCCCACCGTGCTCCCCGCTCCCAGGTCGTTCCCCTCTGCAGCCAGGGCGCGGGCCCGGGCTAGGAACAGAGCAGGCGAAACTGTAGGTGGAGGAAGAAAACTCAGGCCGAGACTTGGCTCTCCGGTGAAATGAGGCAGCGGGGAAAGTGGGAGACTGGGATGGAGAGAGGGCTACTCCTAAAGCTTTTCCTTT